GCTGGTGGTTCTGTCTGTGGTTCTCTTTGGGCTGCCGTACAGTTCAGAGCAGTCATGTTCAGTCACGCTGGTGGATCATGGTCGCGGTTACCTCGGCATCTTGGTCAGTTGTCTGATCTGCGAGAGCGCCATCATGTGGCTGAGCATGAGGGGCAGCATCCTCTACACACAACCCAGAGAGGCAGTGCAGTATGTGCTCTATATACGCCTAGGTAAGACGTACACCATGAACACAACAATCATTCATTCTCTCACTGTACGTTAAAATAGTTAACTTGCTTGCATGAAAAACACTGATGCATCTTTAAGTGGTAGTTTACTTAAAAATTTACTTAAAAATTATAAATAATATGAATTAATATGAGTTCCTGTTAAGCAAAGCGTGAGGGGTTGTGTTGGAATCACCAATATCTATTAACAATTGACATCACCTGTACTCCTGTCCAAGTGTGCTAAGCGCTTACGTTGTCAATAAACGGACTACAATCGGACTACATTCGAACATGCGTCAATATTGGTTTGACCAGACTGTTGATTAAATCTAATATATATATATATATATATATATATATATATACAATATATATATATACATACACACAGTGCATCTGGAAAGTATTCAAATCGCTTTACTTTACAGCCTTATTCCAACATGAATTAAATTCTTGACAATGTGAATTTTTTTTTTTTTTTTTTGTAAATGTTGCAAATTTATTAAAAATAAAAAAAACTGAAAAATCACATGTACATCAGTTTTGACAGCCTTTGCAGGGAAGCTCTAAATTGAGCTCAGCTACATTCTGTTTCACTGTTCATTCTTGAGATATTACAGCAGCTTTATTGGAGTTCACCTGTGGTAAATTCAGTTGATTGGACATGATTTGAAAAGGCATGCACCTGTCTATATAAGGTCCCAGGGTTGACAGTCCATGTCAAAGCACAAACCAAGCATGAAGACAAAGGAATTGTTTGTAGACCTCCGAGACAGGATTGTCTCAAGGCACAAGGCTGGGGAAGGTTACAGAATCATATCTGCTGCTCTGAAAGTTCCAATAAGCACAGTGGCCTCCATCATCCATAAGTGTAAGAAGTTTGGAACCACCAGGACTCTTCCTAGAGCCGGCCATCTGAGCTGGGTGATCGGGGAGAAGGGCCTTAGTCAGGGAGGTGATCAATAACCCGATGGTCACTCTGTCTGAACACTAGCGTTCTTCTGTGGAGAGAGGAGAACCTTACAGAAGGACAACCATCTGTGCAGCAATCCACCAATCAGGCCTGTATGGTAGAGTGGCCAGACTGAAGCCACTGCCCGCCTGAAATTTGCCAAAAGGCATCTGAAGGACTCTGACCATAAGAAACACAATTCTCTGGTCTGATGAGACTAAAATTGAACTCTTTAGAGTGAATGCCAGGCGTTACATTTGGAGAAAACCAGGCACTGCTCATCACCAGGCTAATACCATCCCTACAGTGTGGGGATGTTTTTCAGCAGCAGGAGCTGGAAGACTAGTCAGGATAGAGGGAAATATGAATGCAGCAATGTGCAGAGACATCCTGAATGAAAACCTGCCTCTGAGTGCTCTGGACCTCAGACTGAGGCGACGGTTCGTCTTCCAGTAGGACAATGACCCAAAGCACAACACAAAATATCAATAGAGTGGTTTCACAACTCAGTGAATGTCCTTGAGAGGCCCAGCCAGAGCCCAGACCTAAATCCTATTGATCATCTCTGGAAAGATCTGAAAATGGCTGCACACTGTCGCTTCCCATCCAACCTGATAGAGCTTGAGAGGTACTGCAAAGAGGAATGGGCAAAAATTCCCAAAGACAGGTGTGCCGAGCTTGTGGCATCATATTCAAAAAGACTTTGAATTGCTGCCAAAGGTGCATCAACAAAGTATTGAGCAGAGGCTGTGAATAAGGATGTACATGTGATTTTTCAGCTTTTTTATTTTTAATAAATTTGCAACAATTTCAAAAACTCTTTTTTCACATTGTCATTATGGGGTATTGTGTGTAGAATTTTGAGGAAATAAATTCATTTAATCCATTTTGGAAGTAGGCTGTAACATAAACAAATGTTGAAAAGTGAAGCGCTATCAATACTTTCCAGATGCACTGTGATTTGTGATTGACTTTTATACACTTTTTACTGCTCCATTGCATCTCAGTCACACAAGTTTCAAAGAAAATGGAAAAAGCTTATTCGAATAATCAATTAATCGCTCAATTATTCTGGTAGATTGATCAGTTATTAAAATAATCTCTAGCTGCAACCCTTCTGCAAAGCTTAAGATCCATATTCAGTCAGGTCAGGTGCAAAAATAGCTGTGTCCACTCTTTTTCAGTGCTATTATTCGCTGCTTGTGTTTAGTAAATACTTGTTTTGCTCTGTTTGCTCTGGCGCAAGCTGATAGTAAATCTGGCACTAGGGCTTTAACAAAAAAAGAGCACTAATGATATCAATGGGCATAGGGGGAAGAGGTGTAGTGGTTTATTGTAAAAAGGCACTAAAAACTTGCAGTGAAATCTCATGCTGTGTGTTATTAGGCTCTAAATCAACACTTGGCATTATTTATTCCTCTTCTCTGCAGCCATCCTGCTCGTGGAGCTGGTGTATGCAGTGGTGGGCATCGCCTGGTTGGTGCAGTACTACCAGCCCTGCCCAGACATCACCGCTAAGAACCTCGCCCTCGGTAAGACATGAATATATATACAGTATGAAATCTAACCGCTGTTGGGTAATCCAGTAAATTAAAGCACTTACATATAAATGGCATCTCATTTGATTTCTTTCTCAGACGAACGCAAAGCAAAAGATAACATTGTTCATAACAAATGTATCCTAATTCTGGGATCAGAGCCACGTTTTAAGACATTTCAAATTGTGAATTAATGTGGCAAGTTGAATCATCAGTCAGCCGCAGTTAAAGGCTAAACTGGGACACTTTGTGCTCTGCGTTTCTTATGCTACCCTTATTTGTCATTTCTGTGTAAATGTTAAAGAACTACGACTAATAGTCGCAACTTACATTATTGGTTTAGAATAATTTGTGCCTTTATTATTTTGAAAGACTCCTAGAGCCCTATCATACACCCGGCGCAAGGCGCAACGCAATAGTTTGCTAGTTTCAGCTTGGCGCAAAAGTTGTTTGGATGTTTTGCGCCACACTGTTTAAATAGCAAATGCATTTGCGGTCATATGTGCGCCCATAGGCTATCTGGTCTAAAAAGGAAGGCGTTCTGAGGCGCACTGCTGGCACGTTGCTATTTTAAGAAACTATCGCTGCGTCCGAAACCGCATACTTCCATACTATATAGGACGCTAAAATCAGTATGCGAGCCGAGTAGTATGTCCGAATTCATAGAATTCGAAAATCAGTATGCGAGAAGTACCCGGATAACTTACTACTTCCGGCGAGATTCTGGAGTGCGCATCGCATGCATGCTGCGCTATCCCATGATGCCCCGCGAGTGAATTCATGAATGGGAGTAAAGCGACGCAATTGACGCAGGTAGGTCACGTGACAATGAAAAAATGGCGGATGTAGTACGTCTGAATTCCATTCATACTTTTCACTTTCATACTGTATAGAACGTACTTTTCTAACGGCCGAGTAGTACGTTTAAATTCAAATGCAGTACCTACTGAGTAGTAGGCGGTTTCGGACGCAGCCGATAATAGTGTCACAATCACCAGCGATCACAACTCCTTGGATCGCTGGATCTCTCTCACAATAAGTCATGGACTACAATTCTGCCATTTCTGGACTACATATTCATACATGCACTCCGGTCACACTCACACATGCTTCTTCATCTAGACTGATTACTCGCACCACCTGAGGATTGTCAGAGACTGATTGCACACACTATTTAAGCCACTTACTCACCCATTCAGTTTGCCGAGTTTTGTTTACTGTAAGTAGCACTACAACGCGTTTCCTAGTGTTGTTATCTTGTGTACCGACCTTAGCCTTGTTAGCTTTCCTGTCTTAGTCTGCCGCCTGCCGTACGACCTATTGCATGTTACTTCGACTACGATTCTGGATTGTCCTCACACACCTGTTTGCACCTGTATTGACCATTGCTTGCCTGACTACCAATAAACCTGCATTTTGGATCCTACCTCAGTTGTATGTGTCACTCCCGGAGGTTACAAAAAGATTTTTCAATAGACCAAAACAAAGCCGGTCTAAACTCCAGCGCAGAGTTGCGCCTCGCTTACACACTGCTTAATACACACAAGATGTAGAGCCATACGCAAATATCTTTACATATGAAACCGAATTTAAATATTAAGGATATATAGAGGATATAATAAGGATATATTTAGGATATTAATATAAAGGATTAAAATATTACAAAACATATTATTTTCTAACCTACATAAAAATGAAAAACCACCGCCTCCATGCCTTCTTGATCTTGAGAGGCTTTTTCAGCTTATTCATAACAATTTGCTTTTGTATAATGTTATTATTATTAGCAGTAGTATTTATTATATCCATATTTATATTTGTTTTATTAAAAACAAGCTTAGATTTGCCCACCTGTCAGGTTTAAGACCATATGGGGTAAAGCAGGTGTATTTGGATATAACTCAGGTTTTTGAACACACTTCGTTGTTATTGTTCTTTTATTCGTTTGCTGGAAATTAGAACTGAATTTAGAAATAATTTTGAAACAAATCTTTGCGCTTAACAAATGAAATAAATTTTTTATAGACTAATTGATGTCTGTGCGTAAAGGTTTCCCTATCCAAGAGCGAAAGTGAAAGTCAATAATATATCTATCATTCTCGCGCTGCAGATGCTCTGTTTAACTGTTTTCTTGCTAGTGAAATGCTCAGTTTTTCCACTTACTTTACGTCAGGGGTCCCCAACATGGTGCCCGCGGGCACCAGGTGGCCCGTGAGGATCACATGAGTTGCCCGTGGGCCTGTTATAAAATTAGCTTACCATAGCACCACATACCAGTAAGCTGCATCTAACATTTTTTGAAGCTATTCTTTTTAAATCCCACTTGCTCTGGTTGATATGTATCTGTTTCCAATCATTGTTGACAACTATTGTGAGAAATTATTAACATGATCAGTGTCTTCAGATAGATGAATATCATTAATTATTAATAACATAATTAAAAGTAAATTGAGTAAATTTGTTATTGGGAAGTGTGTATCAAACTGGTAGCCCTTCACATTAAACGATACCCAAGAAGTAGCTCTCAGTTTCCAAAAGTTTAGTGACCCCTGCTTTACGTCATGTAAATAGCAAATGTGCCAAGGCACAACGCAACTGGCTCTTAAAGGGAATGGGAGATGAGACTCTGATTGGTTTATTCTTAAAACACACCTATAACTCATTAAGAAAATAAACGTAACCCTTTTAGATCATGCACCACGGCGCAAAGCAGATTTTTCCGTCCTTATATTAGCAAATATGGATTCTGACACGCCCTTTAAACGCCTATAAAAATAATATAATATAGTCATTTTGTATCATCTCGATACATCCTTCTTATACAGTTTTTTTCCTTACTCAACAAGACCAATCCATTATAGTTTCTGCAAAAATATAAAGCTGCCTGAACTGTTTAAACATTATTGATGGTAATTAGCAATGTTTTTTTGAATACCAAATCAACCCTGACAACATGCGTCACCGCTGTCAGCACAAGCTCAAAACCACATTAGTCTTAAGAGAGTGTGGCGTGCGAAGATGTCCCGATGGCATGAGTCCGTCCAGACATGTTAAAATCTCAGGAAACCTCCGCTTGTTAATCTCTGCAGAATCTTGTGATTTTGAAAGCCATTTACAGCTATTTATGTCCTGGAATCTCAACGCACACTTTCTAACAATACGCCTAGTGTAGCTTCACCCATGTCTGCGCTGACCGTGAATCAGTGTCGCTCATTGTCCACCCCCATCCCATAATAACACACTTCGCTTCCATGCCAATCATCAGTCTATAGAAGACACGTCCTGACAAAAAAGAAGCACAGTGAACAGCTTTCTGCTCAACTCACTTTCGTTATGCTGCAATCCTGATGTCTCATGGCCGATTCCAATTGCTGATTTAAAAAAAAAAAAAAAAAGCAAATTGACTCTATGCAAACTTTCTTTTTGTCCGACAAGCTTTTAGCATCAGCCGTAGTGCTCCCCCATCGATTCGTGCACTCCCCTAGGGAAATTTTGTATAATTTCTGTTAATGCTGCATGATATTGAAAGAAACTTTGCATTATTTTTTTTTTCTGCAATATATATTCACTGGCCACTTTATTAGGTACACCTTCGTAGTACCGGGTTGGACCCCCTTTTGCCTTCAGAGTTGCCTTAATCCTTTATGGCATGGATTCAGGAAATACTGGAAATATTCCTCCGAGATTTTGCTCCATATTGACATGATAGCATCACGCAGTTGCTTCAGATTTGTCGGTTGCTCATCCGTAATGTGAATCTCTCGTTCCACCTCATCCCATAGGTGCTCCATTCACCTTATTCTCAGCTGTCGAGTGGGCGGTGCCATTAGAATCTTTTTGTCTCGTGACTTCCGGTCACATTCACTTCCATTCATTTTTTGACGTTAACAACTGCTCGTTACGCTGCTTGATGTTGCAATTTAATATTTTCTTATTATATTATGCTAATTGGTCTGTGTAGTCATGCAAACATTTGTTTGTAGAGCAAGTAGTTTGGCCATTTTCTGCCGTTTATTATTCCTAGTCATTTCTCCCATAGGCGACTGAATCGGAAGTTCTAAGACAATCGCGAAAACAGGCGCACTTCCGCATTTTAGAATAAGGTCAATTGGATTGAGATCTGTGGAGGCCATTTAAGTTACTGTTGTCTTTCTATCAACTCGAACTAGTTTGGCCATTCTCCTCTGACCTCTGGCATCAACAAGGCATTTGCTCCCACAGAACTGCCGCTCACTGGATATTTTCTCTTTTTCAAACCATTCTCTGTAAACCCTAGAGATGGTTGTGCGTGAAATCCCAGTAGATCAGCAGTTTCTGAAATACTCAGACCAGCCCAACTGTCACCAACAACCATGCCACGTTCAAAGTCACTTAAATCACCTTTCTTCCCGAACTGCAGCAGATCATCTTGACCATGTCTATATGCCTAAATGCACTGAGTTGTTGCCATGTGATTGGTTGATTAGAAACTTGTGTTAACGAGCAGTTGGACAGGTGTACCTAATAAAGTGGCCTAATAAATTGTGCGATATGAGCATAACTTCATAAGATGACTATTATTTGATGATTTAACATTGATTGGATGATTTTGTAGGTGAGTGAATCTGCATAAAATACAAAATTACACCAAAGTATACAAACTAAAATGATATAAAGCACTGATGAAAGCGATAAAACAAGGATAAATAAAATAAATGGTTTTTGTTGGAGTCCAACAGTATTGAGGTACAAAATATTTCCATATTCAAATGTAAAATAACGCTGCATATAGTTTTCATTGTATAAATAAACACAATTAATCGCTGTTAAAGGGTCACGAAACACCAAAACACATTTTTTGAGCTGTTGACAGTCGTATATGTGTCCCACGCTGCTAAAAACACTACTAAAACACATATATTTCACTAAAAAGTGAAAATTGGTTGTTTTTGCGTTATTTTGAGCAAATCACGTCATGGCCATGAGATCTTAGCAAGTATTCCAGCGTGTAGACT